CCCCCCCCCCAACCTCACATCCTCCCCCTTCTTTGTAAGAACCAGCCACTAAGTATAACTAGTGCTTCCTTCTAGAAGGTTGTCCTGTTGGATTGATCTCTTGCCATTAACGATTGCTGCAGTGAATTCATGGCTGCAATGGCCGGGTCAGGCCCAGAAGACAGCGGTTGACAGTGCTCCTCCCCAGCCTCCAGCTCATACATTCTTTCTACTCCCCTCTTCCATGATGTTCCCTAAATCTTAGGGTAGGGTCTGATGTAGATGTCCTATTTTGAGCTGAGCATTCAGTAACCACTCATTCTCAACACTTGGATCAGTTATGAGTCTCTGCATTAACTCTCGAGGAAGTTCTCCAGCCACAGCTGAGAGCAGCACTCATCTCTAGGGAGAAGCATCATAGGCAGAAGACAGTTTGACCATAGTTCCTCCATAGGGACTAGGACTCCAGAGCCTTGGGCTTCTCGCCAGGTTTACTGGATAGGCATGAATTCCCTCCTGGGAAGCAGGCCTCATAGCCATGTGGGAGCAGCTGGTTACACCTATAACGTTCACACCACCGTTACATCAGTGGGTACATCTTTCGGTGTTGGTCCTGGAATAATACCATCCATGACTTTTCTTTCCCAGCAGTAACCCCTGTGTGGATCATGACCCACGGGTTGAGAACCCCTGCTCCAAGCAGCTCATAAGAAGAGGAACCTGACTAACCTGGCCACAATCGTTCCACCATAGGTAGACACAGGTATGATACGATGTTATAGGCAGGTAAGTAGCCAATAGAATGGTTGTTCTCAAGCCCAGTGCCCTCCGCCAGTCCAATCATCACTGGTCTAGAGTCCGGTGTAGCCGCCTACACATAAAAGGTGCTCAGAATGGTTCCGGGTATAAGCCTTCCTAGATTTTGTAAAGTAGACTGTGTAACCAGCGTGCCCCCGCCTGACATGCCCAGGACTGTGCTAAGCATGGGCATGGCAAGGTCATCAATTCACACACCTTTCACCTAATTCTCTTAACTTTATTAAAAAAAAAAAAAAGTCTTGATGTCCTCTCCTTTTAGGTTACAGCATGTAGAACCCTGAAATGGGAATATAAGAAAGCAAGTGTGTATGATAAATACTAAGTCAAGTCTTAAAAGCCTGGGCAGTATCAAGATTATAGTAAAATAGCATCAGAAATTCAACTCTGTAGAGAGACCTCAACACTGTAGCAACAGACAAACATAAAACAAAAAACAAAACAAAACCCTGATCTTAACAAAGCCATGGCCACCAGCAGCACACATGGCCGATTTAGTATCAATAGCAACATCCTGAGAGCAAGCAACCCAGGACCTCTCAGGATTTTTGTCTTCAGGCTTCCGTACAAAGTACCAGAGGCGGAGTGCTTATAAACAGCTCCTTATTTTTCATAGCTGTAGTGACTAGGAAGTCCCAGGTCTAGATGCTAGGAGATACAGCATTCGGTGAGGGTCTACCTGTCACCTGTGTACTGGGTCCACATGTGGCAAAAATGAGGAACTCCGAGTTCCCTAGGCCTTCTAAGGCAACTGTGTCGGAAAACCCCAGCCCTAGGCTCACCTTCAAGTAACCTAGCAACAGCAGGACACGTCATCACCAGGCACCAGCACCCGACACCTTCCCACTGTTACCACGACCGCGTTATTCCCGATGCTCAGGCACTGTACCCCCTTATAAAAAGCAACTGCCTCTTCTCCCCATCTTTTCCCGTCCACTCTTGCCCAGAGGCAGCCTCTCCCCCCGCCCCTCCGCCCCGTTCTCTGTAACTCTGTGGTGTTCCTTTCAATCTGCCAAGGTGCCCTCTGAGGCTGAAATCATTACACTGGTGCTGTGACCTGTTAGGCTCTCCTGGTACATGTGCGCTCTCCCCTCATGGTCAAAGCCATACACCTGGACCCAATCCTGGTCCACCTGCAACAGGCTCGCTTTCTAGTTGACTAATCGCTGGACACCGCATCCAACACAGGTAATTCGTAAGTTCCCCCTCTCGGTCAGCAGAAACACTTCTCTGAATTCAAGGAAATGACATTTGAGTGTCCAGCACTCCCCTGGTATTCTGGGGGTGGGGCGGAGGGACCCCCACCCCTGGTCTTTAAGGCTATGGTTGACTCTCTTTGCCAACCCTCACCACTGATCATTTCCCTTGGGTAAGGCTTCATTTTTTTTTTTTTTTTTTTTAAGCGTGGGTTTTGCCCTCTGGCCTCATTCCAAAGTCCTGGTACCGGGCATCCATCCGTGTCTCCTCGTGCTTTTAGCCTTGGCCCTTGAACTGTGGGTGACGGTCCACTGTCGGATTTATGCCTGCTTCCTTCAGTCCTCCCTGGGTCCTTGAGACACCTCAGACATTCAGGCATTGGACCTTCTTCTCTATCTCACCCACGGAAACGGCATCCTTGATTGTACCACCAGTCTACCCACTTGGGATGCCTTTTGGAGAACCTCAGATATCTACACCTAGCACTCAGCTTGAACTTACCCACCTTTGAGGTCAACGCTGGCCTCAATACCCCTTTCGAACTCCACACTCCTGCCCCTCCCTCTGGAGCCAGTGCTCAGCAGCCCAGGTCTTGTTGGCCAGGGTTGTGGAGGCTCCAAGGGCCTTTTCACCCAAGGACTGACCCTGACCCCTACACCCCGACCAGGTTGCCTGAGTCACTGGCACCCCCCCACCTCTCTTCTTCCTCTTGTCTCTTCCCTGCTCTGTTTGTCTGTCTGCCTGCCTCTCTCATGTCTCCACTCCAAGATGCCTTTCATTCGTTCACTCTCCCCACCCCCCAATAAACCTCTTGCACTAACTCTTTTGTTGATGTGTTCTTTTAGTGGCATATGTTGGCAGGGCCCACCGAAAGGTACCCATTTTGCCCTTTTTACTCACTAGACTTTGTGGTGATATATTGTGTACCCCCAATAAAACTTATCTGGGGATCAGAGGACAGAGCCAGCCACTGGATTAGACATAGAGTCCAGACAGTGGTGGCACACACCCTTAAACCTATCACTCGGGAGATCTCTGTGAGTTCAAGGCCACACTGGAAACAGAGTCAGGCAGTGGTGGCACACGCCTTTAATCCCAGCACTTGAGATCTCATGCCTTTGCTTGGGAAGCACACACACCTTTAATTCCAGGAAGTGATGTCTGGGCAGAGAAAGGTATATAAGGCCTGAGGAAACAGGAACTCACTCTTTTGAGACTGAGGATTTCATAGAGGTAAGAACTTGTGGCTGTCTTGCTCTGATCTTTTAGCTTTCATCCCAATATCTGGCTCCAGTTTTTATTATTATTATTATTATTATTATTATTATTATTATTATTATTAAATATTATTATTATATATTATAAATATATAATAAATTTATAATAATAACAATAACAACAACAACAACAACAACAATAATAATAAAACCTTTTAAGATCCGTGTTATGAGACTTTCCTGGCGTTTGGCGTTTGGTCTGGCCATGCTGGGATCCAACTTGCCCACTCCACCCACAACAGATCCTTTCTCCCTGTTTATTTCTGTCTGCTCTTCCATCCTACCATGCTGGGATCCTACCCGCCTGCTCTACCCACCTTGATCCAGCCTCCCCAGCAGGAGCCACGGTCCTGGCTACCCGTTTCATTTCTCAGTCATCACCAGATATTAGAAGAAACTAAAAAGGCTGAGGACGATCCCCAAGCCCCAGTACAGGAGTTGGTGGAAATGACTTTTAAGGTTTTAACGCCCAAGAGGAGACAGCTGAGTCTTCCCAGTGGGTTGGGCTGCCATAGAAGGGTTATGCTCCAAGCTCATGCCTTGGCAGCTGCTCTGAGGGCATCAGCACCCTAAAAAGAGAACAAGGGAAGTCCACAAGACTCCACCCTGCAGGAGTCCAGCCAAAGTCAACTCCACCAGGGGCCTGCTTCAATGCGGCCAGGAAGGCCGTTGGTCCTGATGCTGCCCCAACCCTTGGCTGCCAACAGGGCCATGCCCTGTCTGCTGGCAGCCTGGCCACTGGAAGTCGAAATGTGCCCAGGTGGACTTGCCCTCTGTGCCACGCCACGGAGGTCCAAACCCACCAGCACAGATATCTGAGACCCTTCCAGCCTTCTAGCTCCTTAGCCTGGCAGAGAACCTACCCCAGCCAGACTCAGAGACTTCCACCCCAGGGTATCACTCCAGGTAGCAGGTAAGTCCATCACCTTCCTGGTGGACATGAAGGCTACCTTTTCTGTCTTTACCTCTCCCTCAGGTCCCACAGTGCCCTCACAATTTCTGTCACAGAGTGGATGTCACGCCTAAGACTCTGCCACTTCCCTACATTCTTGCAAGACGATTCTTCTCACACTCTTGTCTAATCACAACCATTTGTCCAGTATTTTTACTCAGCCACTTTAGGCCCACCCTCTCCTTGGCCCTCACACTCTCTTCTGACTCCCATCTTCTTCTTCCCTTAATTGCCTCACAGGTCCCTGCAACCCTCCTCCCTGTCCCTTCCTCCTCTGATAGCCCCTCCCACTCTGCCCAGAGGCTGTGGAAGCCTTATGCTCACCCTGGCCTGGTCTCCAAGACCAACCCCTCACAGAGCTCCCCCAACTCACCCTCTTTGTTGATGGAAGCTCTCATAGGCAGATCAGGAAACCACCAGGAGGCTTATGCAGAGGTCCTTTCTACTAAAATGGTTGAAGCAGCCCATTTGCCAGTGGAGATCTTTTCACAAAAGGCTGAATTAATTGCCTTGACTAGAGTGCTCCAAATAGCTAAGGGTCAATGGATCAATCTACACTGACTCTAAATACGCCTTTTTAATAGCCCATACCCATTCCGTCCTTTGGAAGGAAAGGGGCTTTCTCCCTATTAAGGGCGCTCCCATTGTCAACAGACTCCTTATAGCCAAGCTCTTGGAGACTCTACAGCTCCTTGAAGAGGTAACTATAATCCACTGCTGGGAACATCAGCCCTCCAAAAACCCAGTGGCCTTAGCAATGCCAGGGCTGACTCAGTAGCCTGAGGACTGGCCTCCAGTTCCGCTGGATCTACAGAGCATATTTTTTTTTTGACACCCTCCTATCAGCTCTGTTACCAACCAGAGGAGAGAGACAAACTCCTGAATAAAGGGGCTGCACAGACAAAAGATGGATGGTGCTACTTAAACAACCACCCCATCCTCCCCCAGGACCAGGCACTCTCCATCATTTCAGACATCCACCAAACCTTACATAAAGACCCCAAGACTTTGTTCCACTTCTTAGAGCCCTTCTTTGATTCCACCCATCTTCAAGCCCACATTTTACAGCTTCACTCCTCCTGCCAGACCTGTGCTAAGGCCAACCCGCAGGGGGCCCTCTAGATACACCAACCCTTGCACCAGCTCCAAGGACACTAACTGGGCAATGACTGGCAGGTTGACTTCACCCACAAGCCCATACAAGGAAAGCTCCGCCATCTCCTCTTGTTGACACCTTTACACAATGGATAGAGGCATTTCCCACCTCCAGGGAAACAGCAGATGTGGTGGCCCAGTTACTCCCTGAACACACCATCCCTCCATTCTGCATGCCACAGACCATCCCAATGGACAACAGGCCAGCCTTCACCTCCAGGGTCATGGAGCTAATGTTGAAAGCTCTCAACATCTCCTGGAAACTCCACATGCCCCACTGCCCACAATCCCTGGGAAAGGTTGAGAGAGCCAACAGACTCAAACAACAACTTACCAAGCCTTCTATTGAACTCAGGTTGTCTTGGCCCTCCCTTCTCCCCATTGCCCTTGCCCACCTCCAGGGCAGACCACACCATGCTCTCCTACAGGCCTAAGCCCTTTTGAGCTCCTTTACAGAAGGCTGTTCCTCCTCAACCACCACCTCACAACCCAGACCTCTCCACTGACTGGGTACCTACCCTACCTTTCTCTCCTACGGTCCCTTCTCCATTCACATGCTGACAGTTATCTCCCTGGCCCCATGCCAACAGACCCAACTGCTCCTGAGCCCCCCCCCCACTCTCCCCTGGGGACTAGGGGCTCCTCAAGCAGTGATCTCCTAAGTCTCTAGAGCTCCGGTGGACAGGACCTTACACTGTGATCCTTAGCACCTCTTCCGCTGCCAAGCTCCTGGGACATCAGTGCTGGTACCAATTCTCCAGGCTCAAGTGGGCACCTACCCAGGATGAATGGTCTGTCCAGCAACTGGGACCCTCACCATCCGGTTTTTCAGAATGTCCCAATGAGGAGCCGTGATAGTCAAGCCTATCTGCTCATTCACATTTGTCTCTTTTGTCTATTTTTTTCCCCCAAAATGCTCATGCCTTTTAACCCAAAGCCTTAGTCTTTGCTATGACACCAAGGCGTAAATCTATTCCAGCTGTTTTACAGACACCACCATGTCCCTGGGAAAAGAGTGCTGCTACTGTATCAACAAATCTAGCCTTGTGGAAACTAATATTGAGTCACTCCAGAAACTGTCTGAAGAACTTCGCCAATACAACCAGGGTACACCTCTGTTCCATTCTTTCTGGTAATCTTCATTCTTCCCATGGCTAGCCTCGTTCATAGGACTGGTGGTAATAATCTATTTTCCCCCTAGTGGAAAACCGCTTCCTCCTGGAACGGATTGTGAACCGAATGCTCCTTCACCCATAACTCCCACTGAGCACGAGCCCACCGACTCCCAATTCCCCCTCCCGACTTTGTCCCATGCCAACAGGAAGTAGCCAGATTTGACTCAGCACCTGTACACCCAAAAATGTCGGGATGTTCAGCTGGAACCTCCAGCTCACTCCTGCTTGATCCAGAAAGCCCCATTCCTCTCTCTCCAAATCCCACCCTCTCAGAGGATCTCCAACAAAGAAAAGATGCCGAGAAGCCCAGTTCCGCATTCTTGACAGTTGTGGCAGCTTCTCCCCTGAAGTTGCTAGTAGCCCAAGACCCCACCTAAAGCAGTCAGCTTTGGGGGCTGGAAAGATGGCTCAGAGGTTAAGAGCACTGGCTGCCCTCCCAGAGGTCCTGAATTCAATTCTCAGCAACCACATGGTATCTCACAGCCATCTGTAATTCAATCTGGTGCCTTCTTCTGGCATGTAGGCAGAACACTGTATACACAATAAATAAATCTTTAAAAAAAAAAACCACCAAAAAAACAAAAACAAAACAAAACAAACAAACAAAAAACAGTCAGTTTTTGACCATACTTGGGCACAAACCCAGCTTGTGGAGGACACATCATCACCCCTCGCCCCTCACCTACAGGGTACATAAGCTCCCTGCTTAACTCAGGTGCATGATTTCTCCAGCCCCGATCTCTGGGACTGGAGGACTCACCTGGAGTTGCTTTGCTCAAATAAACCTGTTCTTTTGCTTTTCCAGTTCGGCTTGAGCTGGCTTACTGCATCGGAGGAGAAACCTATCATTGTTGTTACAGAAAACCTATTAGGGTTTTCTAGCCAACGTGGGAGCCTCTACTCCCTTTGCCCCCCCCCCGCCCCGCCCCCATTTGCCTGACCCCCAAGCTCACCAGCAGCCCTTCTCCTCCCTCTTCTAGCCACCCAAACTACTGGTTCCAACACTTCTTTTCCTTTACCAGCCTCCCAGGTGGACCCCCAAGTCTGGGATGCCCAAGACCCCTCTGTTGCCAAACACCATTGCCCTGTCATCATCCAATCACAGGACCCTGCCCAGTACATCCCCCAAGCCCAGTACTCATTCTCCCTCCAGAGCGTCAGGGGACTGAAGCCTATCATCTCTGACCTCCTAAGGGGGAAAAAAAAAACAAACTACTTCACCCCACATCTTCCTCCTTTAGCATCCCTATGCTTGCAGTTAAAACGCCCAACGGGACCCACTGCCTGGTCCAAAAGCCCCAGCTCCTCAATTCTGCCCTGTCAGGTCGCTAACCTTTGCACACTCCTTTCCACTAGTCCCTCAGGGACCTCCTGTCATCATAGGGCACGCAGGAGGCCCTGGCTGTCCAGGGCCAAGTGCCCTGCAGGTGATGGAAATGTGTGCCCGGCAGATGCGGCCGATGGCTGCTATGGTGGACGGTGGACAGTCAGTCACTCCCACCCTGGGTACTGCATCCACGTGGAGAGAGTTTATTAGAAGAATAGAGAGAAAGACAGGGGAAGAAGGAGAGAGGAAGAGAGGAGGGGAGAAAGCTGAGTTATGTGCCCCTCATGGCGGGGGAGGGAGGGAGGGTGGAAGAGAGGACAAAGGGGGAGGAGTTTTCTTCTTAAAGGGGACGCAGGATGGCATCAGGAGGACACCAGGTGGGTGGGTCCCCAAGGGGCGGGTCAGAAAATACCACCACCTCCTATTTCTCAATCCTGGACCCCAAGAATGCCTTCTTCTCTATCCCCTCCACACCCAGTCACAAAATGTTTTTGCTTTCACCTGGACTGACCCTGACACCACCTCCCTGCCCCACTCACCTGGGCTATCCTACCCCAGGGGTTCCAGGGCAGCCCACACCTATTTCGGTAGGTCCTGGCCTCCAATCTACTCTTTCTCTCTCCCCGAATCTACACTCATAGAGTGTGGAGATGACGAGCTCTGCAGTCCATGCCTACAAATTAGCAAACGGACACCTCCGCTCTTCTAAATTTCTTGTCCAGCCGGGGCTAGAGAGTCTCGCCATCTAAGGTCCAACTGTCCACCCCTCGGGTTACCTACTTGGGACTAACCATGACCCCAACCCACAAAGCCATTACCTTGGATAGAAAATACCTAATCCAGTTCCCCCCAGTCCCTCTGCCAAAGAGGAGACTTTTGTCATTCCTAGGACTAGCTGGCTTCTTATGCTCCTGGATCCCTCCTTATCCTTCCTTGTCTGCCCACTATATGAAGCAACCGTTGGCTCCTATGAACGCCTTCTCATACCCATCACCAAGCTCTTTCAGAAGCTCCAACAGGCTCTCCTCTAGGCCCTGGCACTACACCTCCCAGACCTGACCCGTCCCTTCTCCCTCTGTGTAACGGAAAGGGAAATATGCCTTTGGGGTCCTAGGCCAGCAACTGGGACCTTCTTTGGCACCTGTGGCATGTGTGTCAAAAAAAGTTAGACCTTGACACCCAGGGATGGGCACTCTGCATATGTGCTTTAGCGGCTGCCCAGCTCCTCATTCACGAGTCTGAAAAACTAACTTTGGGGTCACCTACCACTATCTTCTTCCCCCACAATCCATCCCACCTCTTAATGTGTCCAGGCATACAAACTCCACCTCCCTCTCAGGTTCTTCCTCTCCAGGCGGCACTGGTAGAAGATGCCACCACTCCCTACCTTCTTCATATCACCCTCTTTGGCAAGGCAAACTACTTCAAGGTGTACAGGACACATTTTGTAGTTGGACAGCAACACAACGTTAAGCCTCGACACACCACTTTGGCCCCACTGCCTTACAGTCTGCAACACCTCCATCCTTTGTGGTACTCAAGTCTACCATGGCCCATCTGCTAGTTGGTCAGGGGTTTGCACACTAGTATGTCTCTTCCCCATCTTGGGGGCGATACATGGAGAAGAGCCCCTACTGATTCCTGTTGTGGACTCAACAGCCACAATCAAAGGGCGATTCCACTCTTGCCCCTTGTGGCTGTTGCAGGAAGAACTGGGGTGTGTCTCACCTGGACAGCAGGACTGACCACCCTCCTGACTTTGTCTGTCACCTGGACAGCAGGACTGACCACCCTCCTGACTTTGTCTGTCACCTGGAGAGCAGGACTGACCACCCCCCTGACTTTGTCTGTCACCTGGACAGCAGGACTGACCACCCCCCTGACTTTGTCTGTTACTTGGACAGCAAGACTGACCACCCCCCTGACTTTGTCACCTGGACAGCAGGACTGACCACCCCCCTGACTTTGTCTGTTACCTGGACAGCAGCACTGACCACCCCCCTGACTTTGTCTGTCACCTGGACAGCAGAACTGACCACCCCCCTGACTTTGTCTGTTACCTGGACAGCAGGACTGACCACCCCCCTGACTTTGTCTGTCACTTGGACAGCAAGACTGACCACCCCCCTGCTTTGTCACCTGGACAGCAGGACTGACCACCCCCCTGACTTTGTCTGTTACCTGGACAGCAGCACTGACCACCCCCCCTGACTTTGTCTGTCACCTGGACAGCAGACTGACCACCCCCCTGACTTTGTCACCTGGACAGCAGGACTGACCACCCCCCTGACTTTGTCTGTCACCTGGACAGCAGGACTGACCACCCCCCTGACTTTGTCTGTCACCTGGACAGCAGGACTGACCACCCCCCTGACTTTGTCTGTCACTTGGACAGCAAGACTGACCACCCTCCTGACTTTGTCTCATCAATTTTCCTCCCAGTTCATCAAGGACCTCTTGCAGTGGCCCAAACCATGCTCACCCTTCAAGGACAAACTGACTCCTTGCCTGTGGTGGTCCTCTAAAACCTAAGGGGACTAGATCTTTTCACAGCTGAAAAAGGGGGCCTTTGGCTCTTCCTCCAAGAGGAAGGCTGCCTCTATGTCAACTAACTATATATAGTGAAAAACAAAATCCAACAACTTCAAACAGACCTCCAAAGCATGATGAGCAACTCAATTCCTCCAGCCCCTGGGCCTTTGAGAATCCCAAATGGAAGTGGATACTTCCCTTTCTGACCCCTCTCCTTCTCATTTTCCAGCTTTTACTAATCACACTCTGCTTTCTCAATTTCTTCTCTACGTTTTTCCAATGACAATTTCAAAAAAAAAAAATCTCTAATCAAACAGTTAATCAGTTAATTGTCACAGGACTACCAACCCCTAGCCACAGAGCTGGAGACCCATGACCTCTGAATACGCCCTGATGGTGAGGATCTACAATGCTTTGAAGATGTCGATGCCAGCTGTGGGATGTCTTTCTGTACACTGTGAATATGTATTGCTCTGATTGGTTGATAAATAAAATGCTGATTGGTCAGTAGCCAGACAGGAAGTATAGGCAGGGCAAGCAAACAAGAAGAATTCTGAGAAGAGGAAGGGCTGAGTCAGCCAGACACAGAGGAAGCAAGATGACAAGGCAGAACTGAGAAAAGGTACCAAGCCACATGGCTAAACATAGATAAGAATTATGGGTTAATTTCAATGTAAGAGCTAGTTAGTAATAAGCATGAGCTAATGGCCAAGAAGTTATAATTAATATAAGCTTCTGAGTGATTATTTTATCAGCGGGCCCTGGGACTGAGGGGACTTCGTAGAATCGGAGAAACCTTCCAACTACATTTGGCTGCCCAATGTGTTGGCAGCCATCTAATACTTTCCATCTAATACTTGAGAGAACTTAAAAAGAACTTCTAAAATTGAGCTAAGAGCAGCTTTCTACTTCATGTCTCATGTGAGCTGAGATATAGAGATGCCAAGGTACAGAGACACCATGGCAAGCTGACTTGAGCTACAGTATGGCAGATTCCTGCCACGGTGCACAGAGGTGTCTCCAAGCCATGCAGTGCACTGCATGGTGGATTTAGCTTTTACTCATACAGACAGAAAGGGTTTATGGGCCAGCTGCATGCTCCCTGATGGCAGCATGGAACCCAGAGTTGGCGAGGTAAGCATGACTCTCCTGGGTACCCCCACCATGTTGAAGAGTTGGGGTGGGCGGAGTCAGCAGCCAAGGCTGCCGCTTCAGTCCTAAAAATGCAGCTTAGCAGTTTAAAATCTCTCCTGGTCAGATTATAGATTCACAATAAGACAGATTCAAATGGAATAAACCTCTAAACAGTTCACGGTGTGTGTATAAATGTACATAGGCTGGGAAGAGAGAGGAAAATGAATATAGACAGTTATATAAGGAAATAAATAGTTTTAAAAAATAAAGTCTTTAAAGAGACAGTAAAAGTAATATAAAAAATAAGCCACATAAAGATGGAAATTACACAGAGAATCTGGATTATATTGTCTTTGGTATTTTTAACTGCAGAAAGACATTTGACTGTACAGGTTGCTGAATTAAACCAACATGTATGCTTTATTTTAAAGCTATCTTGACTTCAAAATTTCTATCTAAGGATACATGTTGTTGCTTTGGAAAAGAGGTTCTGCTTTTGTTTCCACAGAGGATGAGAGCCTATGGATTGTATCCAGGCTAATATGAGTTGATCAATGAAGACCCTCTGAGAGGTCTCCAGATGTTCCAATATCCAGAATAGCTTCAAGGCAACTGACTCAGACAATGTACCCTCACAGACTACTAAAGTCAGGACTTGACCATAATTCTTAATTTTCTCAGTATCCTCCTAAGATTGTCAGTGCTCCCTATCAGCAGGAAGTAGTATGAGAAGCTATACCCAAATTCCCAAAACACTGTTTATAAATATTTGTAAAGCAGGTTATTATAAATGCAATCTCTTTCTAAAGAAGAAAAGGAATGATATTATAGATATCATCTTTGCAAGACAAAATGGTTCTTCAGGTTCCTGCTTTACAGAGGAGACTGCCAAATATTCTACAGGACACAGTGAGAAGTGACTAAAAAAACTCTAGGCCTATTGGCTGAAGATGGATGCCCCAATATCACAGAGGAACTTTGGATGACCGTCCAGGCAGGTAGCTATCTCTGTCATTTTCAGAATTTTGGAAGTTGCTTACAATGTGTTTCTTGATTACTTAGGTAATATTAAATCCTTCTTGGGTCTTTAATGTAGTTGAAGACTAAATAGTTATAATTTTCCTTGGTTATGATAAAAGATAAATTAGATATGAAACTTTAGATTCATAAATACAGGATAGATAGAATATTTTCTTTAATTTTGCCAAATATGAATGGACTAGATATTGTAATTCCTGCTTGATAACTGTTCTATTATATGTATTTTACTGTGTTAAAGTTAAAACCTTCCTTTTTGATTAGACAGAAAAGGGGAAGTGTTGTGGAATGTCTTTCTGTATGCTGTGAATGTGGGTTGCCCTAATTGGTTGATAAATAAAGCTACATTGGTCTATGGCAAGGCAGCTTAGAGGCAGGTGGAAATCCAAGCAGATAGACAGGAAGAGAAAGCAGAGACAGAGACACCAGCTTGCTGCCCAAGGAACAACATGCCAGCAGGTCAGTAAGCCACAGAACACATAGCAAAAGAGATGAATAGAAATGGGTTAATTTAAGTTATAAGAGCTAGCTAGCAAGAAGCCTGCCATAAGCCATGCAATTGGTAATTAATATAAGCCTCTGCGTGTTTATTTGGGTCTGAGCAGCTGCAGGACCAGGCAGGACACAGAAAAACTTCCGACTACAGATGCCCCCCCCCAGACAACAGGAAGCAGTCTAAAGAGCATAGTGTCCTCACCCTGCCTCATCAGTCATGCCTAACTATTTACCCACCTTTTACAATAAATAAGAGGGAAGAGTGTTGGAAAACTCCACCCCTAACTCACCTTCCATAACCCAGCAACAACAGGACTTATCACCAGCTGCCAAGATACGGCAGCTAGTATTAAGACATCGTCTACCAGTGCCGCCTGGAGAAGAAGAACCTGAGAGGGAGGTGGAGTTGGGATGCCTGGATACATTAAGAGGTGGGAGGGTTATGGGGGAAGAAGATAGTGTTAGGTGACCCCAAAGTTAGTTTTTCGGATTCGTGAATGAGGAGCTGGGCAGCCGCTAAAGCACATGTGCAGGGCGCCCATCCCTGGGTGGCAAGGTCTAATTTTTTTTTGACAAGACAACACATTGCCACTGTCACCACGAGTTGTGTATCCTCCCTATGTGCAAGCACTATATCCCCCTATAAAATAACAAGTGCCTTCTCTCCCCGCCCTCTTTTCCCTTCCAGTCTTGCTCAGAGGCAGAATGCTCTGCATTCCTTCCTCCTCCCCCAATAAACCTCTTGAGTGACATCTGTCGCACAGTGTGACTTCCGAGGCTTAAATATTTTGAGGTGGCAGATTGCTTCATTACATAATAATCTTCACAAAATAGAGATTGTTCTACTTCCTGCGTGGCAGTGTGATCTCTCTCTCTCTCTCTCTCTCTCTCTCTCTCTCTCTCTCTCTCTCTCTCTCTCTCTGTCTCTCTCTCACACACACACACACACACACACACACACACACACACACGTACACGCACACGCACACGCACACGCACACAGTCATGTACCATTCACCATCGGCTCAGCAAGTCCTTACCTCACCAGTGCTTAGCGGAAGTCAGTTCCATATCCTTAAAACTCCAGAAGTATGAGCTAAGTGAAAAAAAATTTCTTTATAAAATTACCCAGCTTTGCATATTTTATTATAGCAAAACAAAACAGACTAACACGAGTAGAAGCTGGTGGTACCCTAAGGAGAACACAGTGACCCAAAAGCTGTCTCTGAAATTCTCTCTTAAGCTTTCTGAAAAGATGAACCCAGGAGATTGGGTTATAGTAAGAATTTTGTACAGAAACTATTTGCATCTGAGAGGGCTGCTGGGGCGTCTAAGATCTTCTGCAGCAAAGGGTAGTCTGCCAGACTCCCCTCTGGTCCATGTCCACGGAGCAGGTAGAGTTAGGCCCGTTCTCTTTTGTCTATTCTGGGCAAAAATTACATCGCCCCAAGTTCTTTTTTAGTGTTCATGTTTTTCCATCGTGAAAAGGGAAGGCTGGGAGTATCACTCAGTTGGTAGAATGCTTGCCTAACTTGCACAAAACCCTGGGTTTGATCCCCAGGACTACATAAACCGTGCTCAGGACTTGAATGTATGCATCATTCAAATTAACGTAAGAACATTTAGCAGGGAAAAGAATACATGAAACCTACAGTCCCCGGATGATTATTAATCTTCACAATGATGGATTTCCTTCCAGTCTCTCTCCACATAGATAGTTTTGGTAAGTGACAAGTTGTGTTCCTTTTCTCCATTCCCCTGCAGGCTTTGTCTTGTTTGTTTGTTTGTTTGTTTGTTTCAGATTTTGTCCCAGGTGTCTCTCTCTGGGGGTTATGCAAGCTTCCTAGACATTGTCATGCAAGCCTGCATGAATTCTTAATCCAAGACCTGCTCCTCTCTGCCACCCCAGCCTTCCCAACCTGGTTCTTCCCCAAGTCAGGGTCAGAAGAGGCAAAGTCAGGCAAAACCAGTTCATCAGAAAATGGCCAAGTCGGATACAAAAATGTGTCAGCCCCCCCCCCCCAACCCCTAATGCATTTCATTACCTTTCAATGATCCGTTTGGAATTATTCACCTCGCTGCCCTTAATTATCCACTTCAGTGCCTTCGTCATTAGCATGGAGGGCGGAACCCAGGCCGGCCTGTATTCTCTTCAGGGCCCCAGTCACTTCTGATTAGTGAATTGTTTAGAGAAGGTCCTGAGCCTAGCAAGCCACTGCCAGTGAGTGTCCTCTCCCCAAGAAGCGCTCTTTTGTATTCTGTCTCTGGGTCAGAGTGGAGGCCAAGGGTTAGTGGGGTGGGGGTGGGGCCGCGAGGGCCAGCCAGCCTAATGGTCACGCTGCCTTCTCCCTTCTAGTCTCTCCCTCCCGCCCTGTCCTCCTCTCTCTTCTCCTCTCACCCCCTTTCTCCAGTTTCCCATTCAGCAATGGCGAACAAAGTAAAATAATATAAAAATAAAACCAGGGGAAAAAGAAAAAGAGGCCCTGAAAACTGACCATAGCAACCTCTACTTCTGTCTCTCCTGCCTTCCTCCACCTCCCAGGCCCTCCAGCTACTCAGAAGGGGGTCCCTCACAAAAGACCCCAATTTGACCCCTGACCAGCTAAAGCCGATTCATGGCTGGGATCTGAATCTATTTAAGCTAAGCCCGGGCACAAACCAGCCACATTCAGTTTGCCAGGGCCATTCATTTTTCTCTTTTTCCATGTTTTGCTGTTGTGGATGGTGATGACCTTTGTTTCTTTCTTTGTAAACTGGAGCCAAGCCAGTTCGTCTCTCAGCTGCATACACAGGAATTCAGAAGGCATACACACAACCTGCAAAGCAAGAGGACCCTAACCACTCTGGCGCTCTCCATCCGGACCTGTCACTGCGCTAGATTTAGAAAGGACGCACCTTGGCGCACTCTCTACCACTTGAAAGGAATTCCTGACAGACCGTTTTGTTTTCTCAAATATTATCCTGTAAACAGTGTTGCTTTTTAAAGTAATCCATTGCTCAAAAATATGTCCATAAAGTATCTGTCCCAGTGCCGGGGCTTCTAACTCACCCAGGAGGGACACATGGAGGTCTGTGTGCTCCCAAAGCAAACAGAGGTTCCTTGTCTGAGAGAAGCCAGCCAGGAAGCAGTGCCTGCTGCTCTCCAGTAACCGTGGCCACTCCTGCAGAAGCCGGGAAGTCTAGAGGATGCCGGGATGGAGCAGTGTGCAGGGAGCCACCACCCTCACCAGTAGGGACTATAGGTCACCTCTAGCTGTAGCCCCTGGGGGGAGGGGAGGCCCCTGAAACTTTGGTAAAATTGTTTTAAGAGACTGAAAGGCACACTGGTTTGTATGGTAAAATACTTGACCTCTGGGGGAAATGTTTCGTATCACTCTGGATTACCAGGAATCACGGGAAAATTGCTCTGTGGTCTTTAGTAGAACAGCGGCCGCAAGCCCTACTGGAAAATGGGAAAATGGATTTTTCCCCTAATAGTCTCGTGTATATATTTATATGTTTTTTATTTGCTTCTTAAAGCAAATATTTACTGTGTCCCAACTATATTCTAGGCATTGTGCTAAGTTAGCAGAGTGAACATAGACGCTTCTCTCTCTCTCTCTCTCTCTCTTTTCCTTTCTCTCTCTCTCTCTCTCTCTCTCTCTCTCTCTCTCTCTCTCTCTCTCTCTCTCTCTTTCTTTCTCTCTCTCTTTCTCTCTCACACACACACATACACACATACACACACATCTTTTTTCTTGACCACCTCTACCAGGAATTTCTAGGAATTTCAAAATCCCAGAAAACAATACTTTTAATAAACTGGAAGAATAATATAAGGGTACCTTGGGGGTTTGAAAGAAAATGGCCCCCATAGGCTCACAGGGAGTGGCACTATTAGGAGGTGTGGCCTTGCTGGAGGAAGTGTGTCACTGGGGGGCGGGCTTTGAGTTTCAGGTGCCCAAGCTAAGCTCAGTGTCATTCTCTCCTTGCTGTCTGCAGATCCAGATGTGGAACTCTCGGCTACCTCTCCAGCTCCATGTCTGCCTAACAAGTACAGGTTTCCCATTTGTGATTCCAGCAATAACTGCTTACAAAATATTTTAACCTCAGAGATAACTATGGAATTATTTCGTCGTTGAAATGTACTTCCTCCCTAACAGGGAGTGAAGAATATGGCTCTCTGCCAGCCATCTGACTATGCTCAGCCCAAGAGAGCTCCAAGTTTAAGGTCACTTTAACAGCCCATGTTTCCTCCCAATCCTGCCCCCCACCCGCACCCCCACTGGGACTCTGAGGCACCTGGGCACCTGAACACATTCTTCCAGTGTGATTATCTGTGACCTTTTCTGGTTTAGCAAGGAACATGTCATAGGAACAGATCTGTCATTGGGGGAGAACACGTGTGATAATTTGGTCCGCCAGGATGTTGGACTTACCTCAGCCTAGATATCCTGACTGGGGTGCTGTCTCCATGGCTTTGTAGGGGGTGTCTAGAGACTGTCAGGGGCTCCCCTTCAAAGATGCTCAAATGCAGATCCTTCTGGAACCTTGCAGCCCTGAAGCAGCAATGAATCATTTTGATCTCTTAGTTATTGTATTCAAGGCCTTTTTTTTTTTTTTTTTTTTTTTTTGGTTTTTTTCGAGACAGGGTTTCTCTGTGTAGCTTTGCGCCTTTCCTGGAGCTCACTTGGTAGCCCAGGCTGGCCTCGAACTCACAAAGATCCGCCTGGCTCAGCCTCCCGAGTGCTGGGATTAAAGGCGTGCGCCACCACGCCCGGCCTTATTCAAGGCCTTTTAAGATGTCCTTTTGCACCGTGGGACCCTGCTCCACCAACCAAAATATGTCTGTAGACATGTTTTTTTGTTTGTTTGTTTTGTTTTGTTTTGTTTTGTTTTGTTTTGCTTTGTTTTGTTTTGTTTTGTTTCCCCAAGGCAGGGTTTCTCTCATAGCCCTGGCTATCCTGGAACTGCCTCTGTAGACCAGGCTGGTCTCAAGCTCAGAGATCTCCCTGCCTCTGCCTCCCTAGTGCTGGGATTAAAGGCATGCACCATTCCTACCTGGTGCTTTCATTTTTTTAAAATGTGGTTCAGTAAGAAACACTTCTTTATATAAGTAAAATGTCACTCAAGTAAAGTCCCCTTCCAATAAGCAAAACTTGGAGTCTTCGAGAAGTGGCACTGTGAAGTTATACTGAACTTGACCGACCCTTCTCAGCCCTCAAGTGTGTCACGTGGGTCTAATCATAAGCAGGGACAGTAAATAAAGTACACTAGGGGGCTGTAAAGATCTAGAATGTTGTAAGAATTTGATACATTCTTTGTGATCGGTTCACTGGCTGATTATGTGAACAACGCCACCTTCCTTGGTAAAGCTCACGGCCTTCGGTCCCAGAGCCGTGCTCTTGGCTCAGACACCCACCATCCCGGTCTCTTGGGCTAGTACTGTCTTGCCAAGACGGGGTTTTGGTTATTGGGTTCGCTGCTGAACAAGGCAGTGAGCAGCTAAAGACAACTACAGAAAAATCTTTTGTATTTTTTTAAAGTGACGATAACAAAACTGTCTCCAGGACCAAGTAAGCCTTCAACAAAACAGCCTGTTTACACTTGAAAAAACAAACAAACAAACAAGCAGGGTCTAAGCTTACATTCCCCAGCCCAGAATCACAGCAGTTTACAGCAGCAGGTACTCAGAAGGACCCCAAAAGTCCTCATGCCGAATAAAGGGCCTCTGTTGCCTCACATCCCTTCCTGTAGGAACAGCATCCTCTCTAACCCCGAGAGATAACCTTGTGGGGTTCCTTCTGAGTCATACTGGGGGTGGGGTGTGTATGCCCCAGTTCTGACCTTGTGGTGGCCAGAGGAGAAATGACTGGTTTCTTCACACACAAGTCCTGGTGAGTCTGGGAGAAGTCCATAGAACCGTAGCGGGTCACTGCAGCCTTGAATGCCTCAACTGCCAGTGGCTGGCATTGCCAGTTGGCTCATAAGGACTCCCTTCCCCTTCCTCAGCAGGACTTAAACTCTGACCTCTGGTAGACCTTGACCCCACAGACTCAGAATCCCAAAGCCCCAGAACCCAATTT